CCCAAGGGCCAACCGCGTACGAACGTCATCCATTTGGCGGTTAAGGAGCTTAACAAACGCACTCCGCTTATCTTCTCCTCCAAACTCAAAGAAGAGTTCCTCGTGCCCCTTGACTATAACAACAAGTCCGTGATGTCCGAATCGGGTTGCCTTGGATTTCTCGGTAGCAAGGATATCACGGATGGGTAGTGTCATCTAGTGGTTGATATGTGCCAATTATTGCACTTGATCAGAATGAGCACCTACCCTAGTTCGACTTGCCAGTGGACCACTTGACTTAAAGCAGAAGTAATTGGTGGATACATACAGTCGTCCGTACACTGGCAAGAGCCTGAATATATACCCAGGAAAATCTACAAGGGAGAAATTGTCAGAAAAGATACTGATATAAAAGGGCTTCTGGCCGTACATCCAAGTAAGGTTTCCTTCTCGTCGTAAGCAAAAGCAGTCCGAAACTTTTCGGTTGCATCGGCATCCACAGGTATATCAGGTGTTTCAAGAATACTAAATGCTAGGTCGCCCATCGTCGATCGACTACTTGGCAACGATGCAGAGGGAATCGAAGAATACATTTCTCTGACAAGGGTGGTGTCAGGGGTTAAGGTCTGTTCACTCGTCGCTGAACTACCGAATACACGTCGGGGGCCTTTCAACCAAGACGGAACGCCAACAATCCAAGAACTATTATCTCTGCTCAATGAAGGATTGTCAGGATCAATGGGTGATGCGGAAGTGGATGGAGGGTACGTGTGATCATATGGTGCCAAAGCTGGAGCCGAGTTCTTCGATAAGCCCTCAGTCACGTCGCGCACATGTATAGGTGATGTAGGTCGTCCGTCCATGGATTGGGGAGAACTAGTTACAGGGATGAAAGAAACGGAGTTCGCTCGGCGAGAAATATGTGTGAAATCTTCTATTTCTAAGGGGCTTTCCACGAGGGCCTGGGAAGTTGGCCGGCTGAGTGTATCTTGAAATGGTCGTAACAAGGAAGTTAGCCGAAACCCTGAACCTAGCTTTGAGACGGCAATTTCTGGCGGCGAGCTCATAGTTCGATCTCCAGACACAAGTGGACTTCGCGAGACGGTAGTGTCGAGGACCATTTGTGGTGAACTCCTTTCTGGTAAAATACGATATGCGCTAATGGCACTGCGTATTTGGTCAAGAGCCCCATGAATGTCACGAAAGTAAGCGAAAAAATAAGAATCAACAGAGAAGTGTTCTTCTTTGTCAAAAACCTTTACTTCAATGGTCTCGCTGAAGTCCATAGCTGAGGACTTCTCGACATCAAGAATAGTAGAGTACGGGATAGCAATCTTCGCCAATATCAAGAGGTGGTGTGTAAGAGTTGAAAGGACTAACAAACCTTTACACTATCTCCCATGTTCTGAGCTTTGAATATGACCTTCCGGATCGCCTTGACCCATTCCTCACGACTAGGGACCGAATCTGCTGATAACGACACCGTTTTCTGATTGGTACGAAGACGGAAACCTTTTTCGCCCAGTGGATCGCAAGAAATGGCATATCGCAGATCTACGATGCCATGAGGGAAGTAAGGGTCCTGGAAACAGTGAGATCGTTTGCCCCGATAAATCAAAACAATATTTCTCACTGAAGAAGACTGATACCAAGATAAAGCATCATTCTTTAATATAAACCAGTGCTTTATCCAGCGCTTCGTCCGTTGCGCTTTCTTGTTGAGAGATCCGGACTTCAAAATTTGATCCTGTTCGATAACGTTAGGGGCTGTCATAATGATAGCATTCGGTTTAGACTGAGGACCTCTCTTGATGGCATATGAGCAAAGAAACATAGATATGAATTTGTCAGGTACATATAGCCTTGTAATACTGCGTTTCGCATATTATGGATCAAGTTGTGGATCACGACCGTGGAGGTGAATAACTCACAAACGTCTCGGAGAAGCCAGCATGGCATTTCTGACACGGCTCAATAAGGGTAGTCAGACATTTTATATACAAAAAAGCTTACCTGCCCAGACTTCCTCGATGCCATCTAGCTCGAAAACGTCCTTCAACTTCGCCGCGAGGCCTGCCCTTCTCTGAAGTCTAACTGTTGCCATGCTGCCTGCGCGAGAAGGGGCCATCCTCTTCAGACCTTCGGCTATACTTCCATCACCCCTGATGTCTTTCTCAGCAGAAGACTCCGATAGGATACGATGATTAACGTGAACGGGCCGTGAGTCAGGCGGCCGTGGAGTTTCTTCAAAATCTTCAGCTTCTCCATCATCCCCAGAATTTATAATATCGGATTCGTTCCCCTCTTCATCCACAGGGGAGTACACGGTAGCACCGTCGCGTCGTACTGGAGGGATACTTAATCGACGGGAACGTGCCAATGGCCGATGAATTGTATGAATCGAAGAAGCGAGGTGACCTATAAAAATAAAAATAAAAAGGTTACATATGCACCAAAACCTTGCACTTTGCCATTACAAGCCTACCAGGTTGATCCTCATCATCACTTGAGTCGGAAGGACTCGCTGGTAGGTTTATAATTTCGTCATCAATTTCAACCCCCGCCCAAGGTAAGGCTTGAAGAGCTTGTATTAGTGTTTGAGTGCCAGCGCGCATCTGCATAGGTTAAGTGAGTATCCTGGAACCCCCCAAAATGAAAAGATTTTTTTTTAAATATTGTTACTTACTGAGCCATCTCCGCGAAAAGGACTCAACGATGGTCGCATGGGGGGTGATGGTGGTGTAATAAAAGGAGAGTCGTCATTTGGTAGCCCAGGCCGATTGATAACTCCAGCTAGTTGTGGTGATATTGGGGAAGAGTAGTCCTGTTGGCTGGGGCCCGAGGCTTTTGAGGCCATTAATAGTGAGGTATTTGGCGTGAGGTTGGGGATTGGAGATGCGATACCTGTGTTTCCTTGAAGCTTGTTAGTATCAAGGAAATTAGACCTTAACTGACTGTCACTGTCTCCAAGAGGATCCTTTCCTTTGCCCTTGCGACTCAAGCTGAACAAACGTCGATGACCCGATGGAGGTGGAGTTGTGGGACTGGTTCGCCCAGCCATGCCATTGATGCTCCGGCTTAATTTATCGACGGTTTTCTCAACCGTTTTTTCCACAACATTAGACATCCTCTTCACACGGCTTGGTGTAGGTGGGGCATCTTTCTGAGCTGGTGAGTGATATTCGGGCGAGTTCAGTCCAAGTGCCTCGGGGGAGGTGTCGAATATCTGTCCGGAATAAGGCGTGTTTACATAGGGTCGTGGATGGGAATTGTTTGACATTTTGGCAAAAATGGGGTGGTCAAAGAGATGGAAAAAGTAAAGTTGGATACAGCTCTAAGCTGAAAGCCTGCGCGCCGGTGCCGCGTAGTTCAGGGGTGCGCGCTTGAACAATTGAATGGTGTTTGCCACCCTCATCACGGCTATTCCCGAGGTACAAAAAAACGTGACCAACACGTTCAAGTCGCGAGTAGTTGTGGCGGTACTTTTACCTCGAGGCTCTTATAAACACAGCTGGCTGGGCATCGCTGCTGATCTGTGTTTTTATCTTCCCATTGTCCGGTGCATACCCCTACCCCCCTCTTACAATGCGCGGTGAAATATGTGTTGGTGCTGCTTCAATTCTGTCGTACGTGCTCCCGCCTCCAACATGTCGTCACACCTGACGGAAGGATCGTAAACAACCAGTTTGGTATCAATGATTCTTATGATATTTGTTCATGTGCGTAGGTACTATCTAGTTGTGACAATTACAATCTCATCCCATGCATACTTAGGTTGGCCAAATAAATACTTCAGCAGTACCACGAAAGATTTCCATGGTAAATGCGACTTACATCCAGGAGAATGTATCTTGATTTAATTTGAGATAGGTCAAAGTGAATGTATCAGCATATGGGTAAGGAGACCCCAATCTGTTAAGCATGTTTGATTCACTCAATACAACTTTTGGCAGAGAATCACTTCACCACGCCTTCACGGATCCAATACAGGGGTTATACACCATAAATGCTTCAGCTCCCCTCCAAGCAAGAGCTGGACTACGACAATTCTATGAGTTTGGGTTATACAGCCATTGTGGATATGTTAACGACAAGCAAGGAACCTGTGGAAATCAAACCATTGGGGAGCAGTTCCGACCTTACGATGCAATCACGTCCGACATGCTTGTGAACTACTCGATATCCACTGCAGCCCTCGTGATAGATACCACTTTCATGGATTCAAATTACCTGGGTCAGTCCTCAAAAGCGGCGTATTGGATGCTACTCCTTGGTACCATATGTGCCGCCTTGGCGTTAATCACGTCAGTTCATTGTTCTGGCCATTCTATTGTCTGTTAATCCAGCCTTTCGGTCCAGCGGAATCGCAAAAAATAGTTTGACTTTTTTTGTTTCCACGATCTTTTCTATTGCCGGAAGCCTTCTTTTACTCATTGGTGCAGCTATTTGGACTGTTTTGATTAAAAAGACAGACACCATCAACAATATTCTTATCGGGAAGCCGTCGGACCCGGTGCTTTTGGGAATTGTCATTTCTGTGGGGCAAGGTTTATTCCTGACTTGGGCTGCCTTTGCTTGCCTGGTAATTTCTATCGTACCTTATATGATCAGGTAACGTACTCCTCTCTCGTTCATAAGATTGGTGAACCCATACTGCCTCCGCAGCTGCTGCACATATCGTGGATGATACTGCAATCACGATACAAGACGTAATAACGATGTAACCTACGAGACCGCAAGGGATCGTGGACGGATTTATCCCCCAAGGACTTATTATTTACTTTCATAAAAGGATTTTATATATCTTGCCGTATTATACATAGACTATGATATTGCGTTAGTGTGCATGATAAGTGGCGCACCGATGACATACAACGCCAAGTTTGAGCTATAGCTAGGTGTCCCTGATTCCTGCTTTAGCCGCGTGTTAACCTTTGCTTTTGTTTTGGACGATGTTCGGTTTCTTAAAGTGATTTTGTTACTTATATACTTGAAGATAAAAGATATAGTAAAACGTTACTAGCCCACCGCGAGGGTCGAACTCGCAGCCTTCAGATCACAAAGGGGTGACCAACATTGACCCGCATCTCGTATTTAAGAGTCTGACGCTCTATCCGATTGAGCTAGGCGGGCAGCGAGTTGGGAAAAATAAGCACACATTATATTATGTAATTGTCTGCCTTTGATGGCCATGTACAGCCTTAACTTTTTGAATAGACTGCGGGCGTAATTCCCCGACAATTCTCTTCTTCTCTTCGTTTATAATCCTCTTGCTCCAAATTCTGTCTACCCTCTTTGTTTTACATCTTTTTGTCTGAAAACGCAAGAATGCGTTCTACTTACAGAGCCACTGTGCTGGCAGCGGCCGTCGCCACCCTCGTTTGCACTGTCAACGCCATCTCCAAAGTCACACGTGAAGGACGATACCTCTACAATGAAGATGGTAGTCGATTCTACATCAAGGGTGTAGCCTATCAAGAGCAAGGTCAGTGTTCACTTTATTGCTTTTCGATAGTCACAACTGACGAATTCAACCACGTTGTCAGGAGTCGTGGTTCAGAGCGCCGACAATGACTTCGGCGAACCCTCTACATTTGTAGACCCCCTGGCCCTTCCAGATGCATGTGCCCGAGATCTCCCATTTTTGCGGGATTTAGGCATCAATGCTGTTCGGGTTTACAGCGTCGATTCAAGCTTGAACCATGATGCGTGTATGAAGGCCTTCAGTGATGCCGGAATATATACTCTGTAAGCAGAACAAAATGCGGTATACCGTACTTACCGCTTATGACCCATTCCTAGTATTGATCTTGCTTTGCCTCTCAACGGGTCTATTGACCGCGTAGTTCCAAGCTGGTCAACGAATATCTTGGACCAATATATCAAGACCATCGATGCATTCAGTAAATACGACAATGTATTGGCTTTCAATGTCGGCAATGAAGTCGTCACCCGGGAGGTCACCGGCGTTGCACCTTACGTTAAAGCAGCAGCTCGTGATATCAAAGCATACTTGTGATTTTACTTTTTGACATTATGTGTAACTTCATTTATTGGGTCAATTCTAGGAAATCAAAATCATCTTCGGTTCTCGTCGGTTACGCTGCCATCAACGGTGCTGGAAATTTCCGAGACCCATTGGCAAATTATCTTTCTTGTGATCTTACAGATTCAAATTCTGACGCAACATCTATCGACCTTTATGGACTCAATGATTAGTACGCCAGTATCTAATCTTATTCCTATAAGCTAACACCATTTTTCCAGTGAGTGGTGCGGTGATTCAACCTTCGAGCGCTCATATGCAGGTACAACTGGGGACTTTGCGGGTTATAATGTTGCCGCATACTTCAGTGAATTCGGGTGCATCACGTCACCACCCCGCCTTTGGACTGAGACCGCTGCTATCTTCAGCGAAAACATGTCTCCGGTCTGGTCTGGGGGTATTGCCTTCTCATATTTCCCAGCTGAAAGCGTCCAAGGGCAATTCGGTTTTGTTACCATCTCTGCTGACGGCAAGACTGTGACAACCAGCGATGATTATGATCGACTTAAGACTCAATATAACCAAGCTACTGGCCCTAACACCCCTGCTAAGTCTAGTGCTCCTGCGGCCATATACCCTACTTGCCCCACGGCTAACGACACTTTCACTGCTTCTACAACTCTCCCCCCTACCCCTAACGAACCCGCTTGCAACTGTTTACTGAGTACACTCAGTTGTAGGTTCACCCCTAAAACAACCAACTATACCACCGTTGTTGGTGAACTGCTCGACACTGCATGCAGCCTCCTTGGTGGCAAAGGTGGATCTTGCGTTGACATCGGCGGTAACGGTACAACTGGTGTCTATGGACGCCTTTCGGGATGTGATCCAAGTATGTGTCATGGTTCACATTGTCTACTTTACCTCTTATATGTGTTCCATAGCCATCAAGCTTTCGTATATTATGAGTCAATTCTACGAAGCTAACAACCGGGATGGTCAAGCATGCAGCTTTTCAGGAAACGGAACAGTCAACCCTCTCGCTCCCTCATCGGCTTCTGCTGCCAATGCTGCTGCAAGTTCCTGCATTTCTGACCCCAATGCTGTGTTTACACCAGCCGCACCAACTGGAGGTAGTAACGGTGCCTCACCTAGCGGCAGCACTGGAGTTCCCCCTAAAGGGTCAAATGGGGCTGTAAATCTTGTCGATGGCAACGCAGTGCTAGGGATGGCCACTGTTGCGCTGTTTGGGATTGCTAGTGCTGTTTGGACACTTGCTTGAAGCTCAAGGCACCAATTCATATTTTCCCATCGTCTGATTCTCAGGAACTATACCCACCCTCGGTTCAGGCTATAATGGTACACTTTGAAGAAGATCCGGCACAATATTACAGACTTTACTACCTATCTATAGTAGCCACTATAACAACTAGTCAGTATGCTCCTCGTTGGACACTACGTGATATTTGCAAAAATTTCCATACTATATTACACACACATTTCCGGAATGCACGGACCTTATTTCGGAGAATGAAAAATTATAGATTCCTCAGCGTCCCTGTCTCACAACATTCAACAGTCAACAGTTGAACAGAACCGTTTGGTTTTTGCAAGACTTCTCGAATCACCATGGCTCCTACTTCAATAGAGGGCGACGATCCTGCAACACAGCAGGATAACTGGGGGCCACAAGATGATCAATCAATGGGCCCGGGGGGTGGTACAGAACCCTCCAATGGCGCGCCTTTGCATATAGACGACGATCGTGCCGCTGGCCAGGGTATGGACAATCCAGAATTTCCCCGTGGCTCCAGTGTAGGCGACGTCAGTGTCTCTGACAGCAAAGGCGACACGTTTCGTGAAAAGCAAGTCAAGGTGCTTAGGTCTCTTCCTGTCTGTTACCGTCTTACCCCATAGTCTCCTGCCCTGCTCGTTTGAAACGAACGTCTGCATACCATTCGATGTTGGACTGGTGCTATGCTTGAATTGTGTTATATGTATTTTTCATGATTCTCAGCTTGGTCGCTTAGGACATCCTTCGTTACTTCAGGAGGCTACTCTGGCTTGGGCTCTCCACCTTCTTCTGCCGTTTCTTGTGTCTCGACTGGGTGTTTACTTTCTGCCGTCCAGCCGAACAAAGTCTATGTTGGAGGTCTCCCTGAACATACACAGCAAGAGGACCTACAAAGTTGTTTTGGCAAAATAGGCAATATTACTAACATTGAACTCAAGTTAGTCTTTTCTTTATTCTATGTGTGGCCAGATGCTCATTTAGTTATAGAATTGGTTACGGGTTTGTTGTATGTCCAAGTATTGTAATATCTGGATTCGAAGCACCTGATTTCAATCCAGGAATTTGACAGTAGAGAAGCAGCTGAGGAGAGTGTAGCAAAATACCACGAGGGGTTTTTTATGGGAAATAAAATAAGAGTAGAAATGTCCCATGGTGGCGGACGGACTGCGAAGTACTCTGGAGATCCTGGTGCCTGTTTCAAGTGCGGGCAAATGGGACATTGGGCCAGGTATGAAAACACGAATATCATTTTTAGGCTTTCACTCATGACTATGCCCCAGGGAGTGTCCCAACCACACCGGGATGTGAGTAACCTTCGCTCTCCACATCTTCATCGACTTAATGTACACAGCTCGCGTCGCTCTTATGATCCTCCTCTAATCGACCGCATTCAACGTGATTATCAATCCGCACCACCCAGGAATATGCCACCAAGGGATGAAATGGGACCGCCTGGACGCTTCCAACCTAGAGATAATCGCTATGAGCATCCCTCTGTAGCACCACCTCGTGAATTTAGGAGACCTCCGTCTCCTAGAGACTTTCGAGAGTATCATGCTACCCCGCCCTCTGTCCGAGGGCGTGAATATTACGATGATAGACGGGGGCCCCTGTTACCCATGACGGAAAGAGATAGATATCAACATTCAATGCCTCCCGCCGACTATAGGGGCCGTTATCCTCCCCCCTCAGACCCACCCTATCGCAGCTACGGTGGGCCGCCCCCGGGACCACCACCACCCGCATTCTATGATCGATATGAACGTCGGTCTAGCGAACGTTATATAACGCCATACCCCACCCACGGAAGACCCAGGACACCGCCTCGTATCAGGGAAGATTTTGACAGACTTCCATCTACAAGGTATGGGCGTCTTTTCCTCACGAATCGCATGTCATTTTAAATACCCCAGGGACTTCGAATTTCGTGGTCGACCACCTTCGCCCCCTCGTTATATTGGCGATTATTCCCCTCGCATTAGCGGCACTGATTTGCCACCGTCGGGAAGATATAGGTTTGCAAACTCGTATTTCATGACATTTGTTCCTTATTTTTTTTTTTTTCGTCGTAGGCGTCGTTCGGAAAGCCCACAGCGCCCCTACGATCAAGCTTATGCAAATAGTGGAGGATATGGCAATGGTTACTCTGGCAGTGTCTCTACCGGACCATCTATGTCTGGCCCTCCCCGTGGAGGTGGGCCACCGCCTCGTGACTACGTCCACCCTCGTAATGGCCGAGATCCGATTGATTCTGGCCCAGGTTACAGGCGGCACTGATCTTTATGAAAGTGGCTTAGGCCATCGGGTGCCCAGCTTTCAGATCTCGGCATCATGTTTTTCCTGGTTTTTTTTCCATGTACGAAACTAGCAACATGCTTGCTCTCGACATCGTTTCCACCTGAGTAGACTTAAATGATAATATATGCGATCCTACACAAGTTTACTGTTTCTAGTCCCTATGATAGCAATTACTTTGAACTTCCAGCCATGGAGTAGAGTAAATTCGTGTCCGCCGATTCATCGACAAGCGCACGTAATCTTCCATTGGGAATACTTAGAAGGGCAGCGGGACTGTCGAACTCAACCTAGATGGAGGAATTGAGCAACGCGTACGAAAATTAATACAACAAAAACATACAACTTGTCCTGCGTCAAGCACCATCTGCAAAAAAAGATCGAGTGGATACTTGATATTATTTCAACAGCTATAGAGAAAACATACAATTTTATCCGCATCCATAATAGTTTGTAACCGGTGTGCAACTGTTATCAATGTCACATCTCCGCGTAGCTCATGTCGTAAGGATGATTGAATGATTGAATCAGTTTTATAATCTATAACAGAGATAGGTG